TATCTCCTTCAAAGATATCACCATCTAATCAATTCAGAGTGGGTCTAATAATAATAACCTTCCCTACAAGAAATTTGAAAAGATTTCCTTTGGAGTAAAATTAAAGTTCATGTGACAGTAATTCAAAAAAAGCATGACTCCAATAGAAGCTGCAGAGGAAAACTGATCTTTTTTTTAACTCTTTGGGGGCCTGCCACCCAGCTCCCAAATAAATCCATAGAGACTTACTCTAAGTTTAGGAATGCCTGGCCTTAGCTTGGCTTGTTTCTTGACAGCTTTTCTTAAATTATGCCTTAAATTTTGCCTCTGGACTTTTTACCTTTCTCTATTCTATATACCTTTCTTTACTTCATACTCCATGGCTGGATGAATGGCTGTTTGGCTTTGTGGATGGACCCTGGCATCCTCCTCACCTTCTCTAAATCCTCCCTCTTCTCCTTCTTTTCTATTTATTATCTCTGCCAGGTAGCCCCACCTATTTCTCTCTTCTGCCTAGCTATTGGCTATTCAGCTTTTTATTAGACCAATCAGGTGTTTTAGACAGGCAAAGTAACACAGCTTTACAGAGTTAAACAACATAAACATAAAAGAATGCAACATAAAACAATGCAACAAATTTTTGCGCCATTAAACAAATGTTCCACAGCATAAAAGAATGTAACACGTCTTGGTTTAACCATGCTATAGTGTCAGATAGCATTACCTGGCTTGTGGTAGTGTCAGTCCCTCTTCTGCCTCCACTGATGAATCTCAGGCTCTCTTTTGTGCATCCTCTTTTGCTGTCTCGCCCTTACAAGGCACTAGTCACTGCATTGTGCTTAAGGCCATTTGAGAATCTCTGCCTTATAAAGCAACAGTCATAGTTCTGGGACAAGGATGTGTCTTTGTGGACAAGTGCCATGGACATTGTAACACATGGAGTGTGTCCCAAGACAGCAGATACAGGAACATTCAGTGAGTGGTAGGAGATACTATACTACTGTCAACCATAGCAGTGATTCCTTTATAGTCATGTGACACTAGTTCAGAAAGGGATTTTAAACTGAGGTTCAGGGGAAATTCAACAACATTCAATCTGCATCACTCATTGTCTCAGAAGCCCTACCCACTGGCATGCCCTAGAGATCTCAGCCCTTCCCTGGGATCTCACCTGACACTGTCATGTTCTTTCTGCCATTCTTTTCCTCACTCGTTTTCTCTTCTCTGGCCACATGATAGTCTCTATGTTCTTACTCCCAGGCCCTGTATGTCCTTATAATATATATCACTCTTTCTGTTTTGGTTTTTAAAAATCTTTTTCCAGACTTAGATATCATTCCCACTTACCTACCTCCCTAAGCAGGAATTATTCAAGACTACCAGGGTAGAGCGCCCCCTTTGAGATCTATCTGTTTCTCAAGCCACATTATAAAACTCCTGTCTACTCATCCACATTCCCATCCAATATACAATCCCTGGAGGAAAGGACTTTGGGCCAATCCTTTCACCTTGGGTTTTTATCCCAATACCTTGCATGATAATATTCTATATTAATGAAATAAAGATATTGGATCATATGAAATGTATTGGTTGAAATGAATTAATAGTAGAATTCTTAGGCTGATGGGATGGTCAAGTGGGTTCAGGCACTTGTTGCCATACCTGACAGCCTAAGTCCAACTACCAGCCCCATGGGGAGGAAAGAGAACTTCTAGGGTTGTCCTCTGATGTCTACATGTGTGCTATGGCACCAATGTGCCTCTCCCCAGGCACACAAAATAAGTAATTAAGAATGGGGTTTATTTTTAACTGGATTATTTGAGAAATTAGAGAATTTTCTGGGTATTGTTCCCCATCTTAAGAGGTAGTTGGGCTACACACACACTCACACACACACACACACACACACACACACACATATATATATAAAACAAAATTTATACATTATGAAATATTTTTATCAAAAGAAAATGTCTAAATTACATAATGAAAAAATATTTAATATCTACAATTAACTGAAATATTTTAAATGGGTTGATAGGTATGTAAAAAGTATAGTAAAATGTTAGAATGATAGAATATAGATTATACATATAGGGATATTTGATTTTAAAAGTTTTAATTTAGCTCTGTGTTTGAAATACTCTCAACAAATTAATATATATTCATGGTATGCATTCACAGTGGAGAGTAATGCACACCAAGAAAATTATAATGGTTTCCTGTGATGTGGAGAGAATAATAGAAAGTAAAGCAAAGTTGGGGGCAACCAATAAAAAAATGAATACAAACTTTCAAAAGTGGGGACTTGGAAGATCATTCAGAATGCCACACTCAAAAGGAAGGTAGGCTTGAAGCATCTGAGACATAGAAACAGGCACTAATCTAATGGTATAAAATGATTTGTATTTTAAGAACTGAGTGAATTAACTAATTATATTACAATGATGTCGGCTTCAGGAGTGTCAGCAGAAACCTCACACTTGACCCTTGGTCCACAGAGCTTGCCCACAGTGTGACTCTGGATACACACCTGTGAGAATGGACAAGGTGGTGGTCTTTCCTGCCCCATTATGTCCTAGAAGAACGGTTATCTGTCCCTCGTACAAGTTCAAAGACAAGTCTTTTACTGCCATCAGGGTACTATTTTTTAAGGTGAATTTCTGTAAAGGAAAAACAAGGACTAATTTGATTACTGTTACTGTAAACAAGGGCTCAGAAATTATTCAGAGTTGGAGAAAAATGCCATTAATCTCAAGGCTGGATGAAAAAAATCTAAGAGATATTAAATTGTGGAAACTAAGCAATGCTTACAAGCAGTGCACAGGGACTGTTTCGGAGCAGGCTACAGACCCCTCCTGAGTTGTCTCACATTGTTGCTCTGCTCCAACCTCCAAAGTTGACAAAACCTCAGCTAGTCCCAGTCAGTCAGGCCCAGTCAGGCCAAGTCAGGCCCAGTGAGTCAGCCCCAGTCAATCAGCCCCAGTGAGTCAGCCCCAGTCAGGCCCAGTCAGGCCCAGTCAGGCCCAGTCAGACCTAGTCAGTCAGGTCCAGTCAGGCGAAGTCAGGCCCAGTCAGGTTCAGTCAGTCTTTCCCTCCTGTCTCAGAATGATCTGCTGAAAATTCTGTATTTTTCCCTGGTGCAAGAAGGGACTTTGAGAGCCCATCCCACGTGAAGGGTTACACTCTGGCCCTGGACACATGGGGAAGGGCCCAGGACCAGCACAGGAAGATTTGGTGGACTTCGCAGAGCCCCCGTTGAGGGCCCTACCCTGCCTGAGGAGTGGTGGGTGGATGGGGTGGGGGGGTAGGCTGGGGGTGGGGGAAGGAGGATTGGGGTTGAGGGGAGGGAGAGGGAGAAGGGACTTACATGTGAAACAAGCTTGTTCCCTAACTAGAACTAATAAATAAAAAAAATATACCCCCCCAATAAAACATTCAAAATAAATTGGAATAGCTCCTTGGGAGACAAGGGAATGTTAGTAGGTATAAGTTTCATGAAAAAAAATATATATACCCTTCCAGATACCAAAATGAATAAAACCCTTCCAACACATATTTTCCAAAAAATTTTGGCAGAAAATTGTGCAAAGAGCTTTGTAAATAAAAACAAATTAGGGTATAATTTTCAAATATCTAATAAATGCTGCATCTTGACTCCACCGTGGAGGACCATGCAGGATGCCATTATTAGCTACATGATGGTAAATCCTATTCTGAAGGAAGGAGAGAAATAACACAGAGATGCTGTTTAGAGACTGACTTTCATTATAACCCAAGTGAGTTAAACTCACAATTTCTCTGCCTCAGCCTCCCAAGGGCTGGGATAACAAACCTGTGCTGCCATGCCCAGGCAACACCTTAACTTTTGATTATCTTGGATACACTTAAATTTTATCTTACTAGAGGAATCTTAATTAGCATAGCTGTAGAGTTGGGGCTGTGAAAAATGTTTAATCTCCATAGTAGACTGACCCTATCAAGAAACAGAAATCTGTTGAATATTTATTTGTACCTTGTACAAATGTTGAATCTGGATGCCAGCTGTTAAGCCAACAGGGTCAGGCTCAATAAATTTTCTTGAGGGTAAATCACTGACTTGGCTCTCTTCCTTGCTTAAGACTGGTTCTCCAAACCAGTAGGTTTTCTAAAATAACAACAACCAGAATCATCATCATCATCATCATCATCATCATCATCATCATCTTCATCATCATAATCATCATCATCATGGTATTACTGGAAAGTTAAGTGCTCTCAAGATTTCAAAACTCTCTGGCTCATTTCATTCTAGTTTTTGAAGAGACTTACACTAAATGACTTTAAACTATAATGTGAAGCAATTTGTCTGTCTATAACATGAATTTCTAAAATTATAATCACAGAATACACATTCTGCTTAAAGCTTGGCTTTGCAAGAAGAAAGTCAATGAATTTGCCTCAGGCAGAGTGAGAAGCACTGCCTCACTCCAAGCAGATCTTTCTAGCAGGGTTGATCTACACATTGTGAATATCCTAGAACTTTTCAATGAGTTTTTATGAACAAAATAATCTTCATAATATTTTAAACCACTTTGCTTTTTTTTTAAACCAAATGTGCCTTTATAGTGATATATTGTTTATGATTTATTAAATCTTGCCTGAGGATTCAGAAAGCAAAGTCAGCCACAAGCCATAGAAGCCAGTAACACACCTTTAATCCCAGCAGTCAGAAGCTAGGATGTGGCGGTGGTACATACCTTTAATCCTAGGACTCAAGATTAAGAGGTAGACAGATCTCTCTGAGTTCAAGGCCACCCGGGGATGCACAAGATTGAATTAGTCTAAACTAATAACAGATCACAGGCCTTTAACCCCAGCTCTAGAGGGGTATAAAAGATAGAAGCAGGGTCTTCAGTTTTCAGTATAAAGCATTCATTCTCTAGCCATGATGAGGAGAGATTACAGTCAGAGGCTTGGTGAGAGCTTGTGGAAATAGCAAGTCTATTCAGCATGAGGTAGAGGTAAGAAGCTAGTGGTCAACTACTTGGCTTTTCTGAACTTCAGCTTGAAGTTTGAACACCAATATCAGTCTCTGGGTCTTTTATTAATTCATGTTACAGTCCTTGTTACTGATGTTATACAAACAATGAAAAGCAAGTCCATGGTGTCTTAGTATGTATTGAGTAGTCCCTGTCTTCTTTACCATTTAAGTATTTGTAGAAGAAAGCCTGCTCCACTTACTTATTATTTGACAAAGTTATTAAGCTTTGAACCTTCAAAAATATAGCATCATCCCTATAGAGATGGAAAATGCATTTGGTAAAATTCATAATAACTTCATAATAAAAATCTTCGCTGGGCATTGGTGGCGCATGCCTTTAGTCCCAGCACTCGGGAGGCAGAGGCAGTCAGATCTCTGTGAGTTCGAAGCCAGCCTGGTCTACAGAGTGAGTCCCAGGACAGGCTCCAAAGCAACACAGAGAAACTTGTCTTGAAAAACAAACAAACAAAAAACTTCAAAAAGTAAAGTATGTTAAGAATTTACTTAACACATTAAAGACTATTATAAGCCCACAGCCAATATCATCTCAAATGGGGGAAGGGTAAAAGTGTTTCCTCTGATTACATGAGCAGGGGTGGGGAGGTCAAGATCATGATGGAGAAACCCACAGAGACAGCTGATCCAAGCTCATGGGAGCTCGTGGACTCTGGACCAACAGCTGGGGAGCCTGCACGGGACCAAACTAGTCCCTCTGCATGTTGGTGGCAGTTGTGTGACTTGACCTATTTGTGGGGCCTCTGGCAATGGGACCAGAATCTATCTCTGGTTCATGAGCTGGCTTTTTGGAGCCCATTCCCTAGGGTGGGATTCCATGCTAGGCCTTGATACAGAGGGAGGGGCTTGGTCCTGCCAGCCTTTATTGACTCCCCATGGGAGGCCTTACCTTTTCTGGTGAGTTGTTGGGGGGTGGGTGGGAGGAAGAGGGGAGAGTAGGAGGAGGGGAGGGAAGGGGAATTGTGGTTGGTATATAAAATGAATAAAAGATTCAAAATAAAAAAAGAAAGTGTTTTCCTCTAACAAGGGTGTTCATATTTTACCACCTTATCTAATGCAGTAGTGGAAAGCTTAGCCAGGCAATTAAGTAAGAGAAATAAATTAAAATCACTGAAACAGTAAAGGAGGAAGTCAGATAATTTCAGTTTGCAAGAATTAACTGGTAAATTGAGTGAACTTCACCAGTTAGCCTAAATAAATGTATAGGTATTTAATATACTAAAAACACACTTTGTTTGGAAACATACTTTGAAATGTAAATCAAGAAAACAATCCCACAAACAATAGCAATAGCTACAAAAATGTCTGGGGGTAATATTAATCACTTCTATAACAAAATTATGAAATTCTGAAGAAATCAAATAGGATGCTAAAATATGGGGCTTGCTGGTCATCAGCCTCCTTCCAGATTCAATGACTGAGTCTGTCTCAAAGGAGTAAGGTGGAGAATGATAGAGAAAGACACTGAGCATCCTCCACTGGACTACATGCATTCACGTAGGTATGGGTTCCAACATAGGTTTGTATGTACATGCATGCACATCACACACACACAAAATATCTGACCACAAAAGCAACATCTCTGGTCTTTCCCTATATTGTTAAGCTGTGTTATCTAACTAGGATAACACTGAAATGACAACATACACAGATGAATGGAGAACAATATAGAATCCAAATATATATATTTGGGTTTTCATCAGTTACCAAATATTAGAAACATATTGAATTTTAAAAGTCTCTTCAATAAATGTTGCTGAGAAAATTGGATATCTATGAACAGAAAGAGATCAGATGTCAATCTTTCAGCATATGTGAGAATCGAACATCTAAAACTACTAGAAGAAAAATGGGACAATGCTTTATGATATCAGGATATGTGATGCTTTTTTATAATAAGACCCCCACAGCAAAACAACAAAAGCAAAATCATCCCAACTGAATCACATCAAGCCAAGAATCATCTGCAAGCAGGTGTAATGATCAACACAGCAAAGCTTACTTGTGAAATGGAAGAAAATATTTGTAAAGTAGTTGTTAAGTAGTTGTCCAAAAGGAGTGTTTTCAGAATATAAGGCAAATTAAACTTTTCAGTAGTGAGAAAAAACAAGTGTAATGCAATTTCAAAATGGCAAATTATATAAATAGTTATTTCTCAGAAGACCTACAAAGGGCCAGTAAGTAAAACATGTTCAACATCACTACAGGAGCTGCAAATCAAAATCACAAGGATATATTATCACACACTATGACATGACTACTAGAATAAACACAAGCATAACAAATGCTGCTGAATGTGGAGAGAAAGACTACCAGTGGGGCTTTTCCTTAGTGCATCCATCATGTAAAAGAGCACAGAAGTTCCTCAGAAGAACAAAATCTAAATTAGTGCATCCATCATGTAAAAGAGCACAGAAGTTCCTCAGAAGAACAAAGATAGAAACAGCAACCCCATGCCTGGGCATCTACCCAATAGCTCTTTCTTGTTTACTGCAACACAATTCTCAGTAGCCAAGGCACAGATTTTTGATGTATGAATGGATATAGAAAATGGGGTATACTCATACAAATGGAATATGACTTGATCATAAAAGAAAACTGTGCCATTTGCTTACCTTGGCATGCATACCTTGAGGAAATAATATTAAGCAAAATAACCATGCACAGGAAGAATCATGCTTCCATTGCATTGTGGAAGCTAAAAAAAAAGCTGATTTCTTAGAAATACAAAATAGTATATAGTAACTATAGGCTAGGAAATGGAGGAAGTAAGGAGGAAAATAAACTTAGGTAGAGGGAATATGACCTACAGCATGGTAGGGTGACTACAATTCACAGTACTCTATTAATGCATCTTCTAAGGGACTAAAAAAAGAGGAATTCAAAGTTTTTTAAAACAAAGAAGTGACAAATTTTTAAGGAAATAAAAATGGTAATTAATTAACCTGATTTAACCTACTCATCATATGTGTATATTAAAATTGTATACCAGTTTCCAAAAATATGCAGTCATATCAATAAAAAATTAAAAATAGACATGGGCATAATTTGTTCTCTCCAACCCAGGGACTACAGACATTACCATGCATTCATTCAGATGGGATTTCTTTGTGGAAAATTATTTCATTCCATAAGTAAATATGCCAAATAATGGTGTTATAGTACAATAAGAATGAGGAATTGTGGTGGCTAATCTTCATTTTCCATTTAATTGCCTTGAGATTTGCCTAGGTACTCAATAAAGCACATTTTTGAGTATGTCCCTGAAGGTTTTTCCATAGGGGAGAGAACAACATTGACTGTGGGCAGCAACACCCAGTAACCCAGGCACTGATGGAATAAAGGTGAAGAGGGCAGGATCCCACCAGCAAAGATATCCCGGCTCTGTTTCCTGATATCTAGGAGATAGGAGACTTTCCTCTGTCACACCTTCACACAAACATGTTCTTCCTCTCCTCAACTCAAAATGACATGGCTATGGGATTGTGGACTGAAGCCTAAATGAACCTTTGTTCCTTTAACTTGTCCCTCTGAGTTATTTATCACTAGAACAGAAAGTCTGATATCACAGTCCCCATGCAGAGGCTGTTAGACTTAATCAATTTACTCTTTGCAAACTAGAGGTTCTAAATAACTTGTGCAGGCATACTCACCAGTAAGAAAAAGTTCCATGGCTTGGGCACACCATACTTTCCTGGAAAGACAGCATCTATATACCAGGCCACAAGGCCATAGAGAAAGGCACTGAATAAAAACATTCCTATTATATGAGCCAAAGTTAAGTCATCATCGACACTTATTTTTGTAGCAAAGTTGTACCACTGAGCACCATGCCCTGAAAACAAAATGGAAGAGAGTTACTTCAGATGCCCAACAATGGCTGAAACAAACATGTATGAGGCATGTATGCTCACAGATAAACACAAGGAAAACCAGAAATGTTAAACATGTCAACTCTTCAAAGGAACAGATATATAGCCTGTTTTCCTCCCAGAAGGCTGGGCATGGATATAGTTAATAGTATGGCCCTCTGTGTGCTATATCTATGGCCAGGCCACACTGGCACCTTCAGACCATTATCTTGAGCCTGTTTACATCAATCAGTCTATAGCTCTGCCCTCCCCTAGACTCTTACCACGAGCATTGTTTACCTTGAGCCTGCTTTCTCAGTTAATCTACAGAAACTATCTTGAAATATGAAAGATGTCACTTGTACTTTACAAGAGTTTTGATGTAGTCATGTCTTAAGCTTTTTTGGGAATATGGAATTGAGTTCATTATCATCAGAAAATTTTATTCCAAATTTACTGTGCTTAAATATGCCTAAAATAAAGTAGCCAGGATCGTCTCTGCTCAGAATCATCTGACTCAAGTGACCTGCTTGCCAGATGGAGCTCAGCAGCGGGATCTGAACACCAAACACCTAGAGGCAGCCCTGCCTCCATCTGCCAGCCCAGGTAGGCCAGGAGCTGTTTCCAGTTCCGGTTCATCGTTGCTGCTCAGAGTCATCTGACACAAGCCGGACCAAGTTTAGGGGCAGGATCTGACACACCAAGGCCGGGTGACAGCTCTGCCTCCAACTGCTGGCCCGGTGGGACCCAGCAAACCCCAACACTGCTGACACCTTGGTAACAGTGACACCTCCATCCACGAGAAGAGGACTGACACCAGAATATTGGATCTGTTTGCATCTACCAGAAGAGAATCTTGGTCCCACACCCACCAGGAGAGCAAGAAACTGTTGCTACACTCACCAGAAGAAAGGATGAGAAGAGAACAAGGTAAAAGCACATCAAACAACAGAAAACCCAATATGACACCACTGGAGACTAGGAACCATACACCAGCAAGACCTGAACATCACAATGCAGATGAACCAGAAGAGAATGACCTTAAAAGCATCTTCATGAAAATGATAGAGGACCTCAAATAGGACATGAGAAAATCCCTTAAAGAAATGGAAGAAAAAACAAACCAAAAAATATAAGATATCAATAAGTCTCTCAAGGAAAGAGTTCAAGACCTAAAAACTGAAATAGAGACAATAAAGAAAGCACAATCTGAGGGAATTCTGGAAATATAAAAGCTGGGTAAACGATCAGGAACTACAGATGTAATCATAACCAACACAATACAAGAGATGGAAGAGAGAATCTCAGGATTTGAAGACACACTAGCGGAAATAGATTCATCAACCAAAGAAAATCTTAAGTCCAACAAATCCCTAACACAAAATATCCAGGAAAAAGGTGAAGAAATCCAACTCAAAGGTGCAGAAAACATATTCAACAAAATCATAGAAGAAAACATTCCCAGCGAATGTAAATACAAGAAGCCTACAGAACACTAAATAGACTGAACCAAAAAAAAAAGGTCTCCTTGCCACATAATAATCAAAACACCAAAGTTACACAACAAAGAGAAAATATTAAGAGCAGCAAAGGAAAAAGGCCAAGTATTCTATAAAGGCAAACCTATCAGAATCACACCTGACTTTTCATTGGAAACTCTGAAAGCCAGAAGGTCCTGGATCGATATTCTACCTACACTAAGAGACCATGGATACCAGCCCAGAAC